AATTATGCCAAGGCAAATGACTTCGACGTTGACAATTTTTTTTGTGTTGTGTTGAACAACTGGGTCTAAAAGCAGGGGCCGAAATGTCACTCCACTGGAATGCTGCATCGAGCAGACCCCCGAAGAGTTCGGATAGAGCACCAGACGTGAAAAGGTCATGGCTCTGGCTGCGTAGTCCAGAGAAGTGCAAGTTCCAGAGACCGAGACGAAGACAGAATCCATTTCGGACGACCGGCGGCCCTCAAGTTGTCAGTTTTAATCAGAAAGCCAGTGTTTTTGATCAGGGAGGAAGCCAGGAATAAAAAGTGTTAGGCTAACTCAAGCTCCTCTTGCTGTTCAAGCCTGTAATTTCGTGACACTGAGTGCTCCAACAAGGAAGATGAAGTATATGAAGTGACATTACATATGCGGAAGGTTGGTGGCAAAGACTTCGAGCTGTACGGCTGCGACGGGGGGTGCAATGCTCAACATGTCTGGCTAGATCGTCAAGCTTTGCCAGAGGACGTGCAGTCAACAGTTTTTCACGAAGCTGCAAGGGCAGCTCCTTCATTGAGGGCCCTGAGTCTGACTGCTGGTATGGCATGCCAAGGCTTTCTAGCTTTTGGGCTGCATCCCAGTTTGGCTCTGCAATGCACGTGCTGGCCTCGGATGAGGTGCTCCATGATGAAGCGGCGATCCATTAGGAATGCCGAGCGCTTCAACTGAGAGTCAGCTGGCCTGTGTTCCCGAGGCTTTCCTGTGTTTCATGCAGGAGGCCGAGCAGCCCTAGGCTTCACTCGTCGAACCCTGCCCAAAGTAAGAGCCATTGCAGCTGCAACAAGCCCTTGCAAGCAGTGAAAAATAGTCTGGACCATGTCACCAGCCGGCAGGTGGTAAGCTTTCTGCAGAGGAGTGCTCCTCTGCAGCTTCCATTTAAGATCGAAAGAGATAAGGCCTTTGCCCCAGTTTGTGAAAATGGACGATGACAAGGCTGCACCGTAGGTCCTGTCAGAAAATTTTTGTCAAGATTTATGATGCGACTTCATAGTGGGCTGTTGTAAGAGACAGTGAATGAGGTGGGTGGTTGCTCTGTGAAGGGCAGCCAGTTTGACCAAGAGCGGTGGACGAAGGCTTGGCAGAACATAGCAGTATTCTTGTCTGTTGACATGTTGCCTCAGTGATGCCAGACAAATGCGCAGTGATTGTGTACATGATATGCGATTTCTGTGGTTGAGCTGTTTCGAGGCGCTGATATGCGATGTTAATAGACTTGTTTCGTGCTTGTCGGCGGAGCTGCGCATTTGCCAGTACCAGCAGCGATGACAGTAGCACTCAAGGCAGATGGACCGCAACTGGTTCGTTGTGGGCTTCGGCAGCTCATTCTGTCATCAGATATCGCGACTGTAAGCAGCTCGATCAATTTAAGTCAAGAGCCGGCAGGCTTTGAAGTTCCTTCTCATGGACTTGAAATACCTCATTGCGGTCATCGAGACGACGGGTCCCAAGTCGAAAATGCGCTTCTTTGAGCACTACATTGAAACAGCGCGCTCTGAAGTCTGGAAACAGTCAGCCGTGCCGAGGCGTGACTTCATGACGTCTAGAAGCAGCGCGACAGCCGCATCCTGAAAAAAAGATGCTCAACACACTGCTCCAGCATGCGAGAGGCAGATGCCCAGAAAAATGTTTTGCCACCCCTGGTTTTGCGATTCTTACCATACCTGCTCGGAGTGGCATAATTACGAGAGCAGATCCGCGAGAGTATCTGTGCTTGCAACTTCCAAGCCGCAGGGGGATCGGCTCAGAGCTGTCGTCCCGTCTCCGTCACTGAAGCAGGCAGTCTGCCTTTCCGCCGCAATGGCGCTCTTCAGGCCGCAAAACATGTTTAACGGCGGTGGACAGGAAGTGCTGTTCATCTGTGGCGAATTCGACGTTCTCTGCAACTGCCTCGAATCTTTGAACCCGGCCCCTAGCCTCGGCGCAAGGATGCTCCTGACGGCCTTGGCCTGGCAGCTGGCCAGCGCGGCCCTGCTGGCCCAGGAAGCTCATATGAGTTTATGATCTTAGGTTCGAGTGCAGGTGGAGGCGGAACCAGCTGAAAGTAGTTTTCTGAAGGAGCCGGTGAAGCCAACGTCCTTCGTGAACACGCCCGACTACAAGGCAAAGAGGGTCACTACAACTCTGCGCAGTGCTGCATTTGAGACATGCATCGCACTCTCTGCTGTCAGCCTTCGAAACAGTCATTGCAAGATGCTATCTGAAGGCTTCAGACACCCTGCGAGTACAGCTGTGGGTCTGGCACCTACCCACGCTGCCCGGGCCAGTTTCCGATGAGCAGGGGCATATCCAGACTTGGCAGGTTCTCGGAATTGTTTGCACGACGGGGCTGGACCCGGACTCAGCAGTTCGAGGGTTTGATGGAAAGATCTCTCGACCTGTGCAGTCGCGTTCATGGCGAAGGCCTCCCCTTCCCTCCGAAGATTTTGTGCTTGCCTCTCAGGCTGGGTCGGCTCGAAGCTCAGCCTTGGAGGGAGATGCACTTTGACGAACTGTCGACAACTGTAAGGTCTGGTGGATGCCTGGAGCTCAGAGCCTGGTGAAGCCGTGGAGGTTTCCTCAACAAACGGCAACGCATGTGAGCACGCCTGCACCGTGTTCCGATTTGGAAGTAGCGGCACTTGCTCGAATTTTGCGAGTTCGTCGTGTCGTTTTGTAAAAATGCAGGACATGTTTTATGACGACTTCAGTTTGTCGATTCCAGCTTGCACATGTGTTCTTAAGGTTCCACAGAAGCCAGTTCAGACACGTTTGCAACCGGAATTACGCGAAACAGCCAGGTTCCGTGTGTAACAGGACCGTGCCTGCATAATCCCCTGGGTTGTTATATACCTTTGTAGATTTGGGGATCCATGATATAATGGAACCTCGGAAGAAGTCTAAACAGTGATGCTCTAGCAGCACAGACGCATTGCAGCGTTACCAGTCCTGCGCACACCTCGAGATGTTAAGCGGTCCACTCGTATGCACTGGAGGGATTTCGGCGCGCAGCTTCATCTCGATTTTCGGGTTAGTACTTAAACCGTCGGTATTTGCCCTACTGGGGTCCAAATTGCTAAAGCTAAACGGCATGTCTAGCATGCTACCAGGTGTTGTTTGTTTGGTCGTGTGGCACAAGCAGCCTCTCCATTCTTCTCCGCCCTAACGGCAGTCACAGCCTTTCTGCCGGTTTTGGAAACCTTTGTGAAGACTCTGGCACAGACAGACTCTCGAGATCTTCTTGGACCATCTTGAGAAACTGCTCCGAGCTCTTCGACAGTGATGGACAGCCGAAAATAGATCTGGTGAGAGGGCAGAGCACGGGCAGGGAAAAGTGGAGGAGGAGGAAATACAACCAATTGAAACTGCTAGTGCAGAGCTTAAAGACTTAGTAACTTAGTGTTTTGTTATAGCAGTTTCTGATGGTTCAGGCGGCTCATATCAGAAACTATCTGGTGCCCCCTCCTTTCCTGTTAAAATGCTCAGTTGTGGAATTTTGTGGTGAGGGGGACTTCATGGTTTCGCAGATGCATGAGTATCCTTGTATCTTACCATATCAAATCGTGGTATGTCATGCAAAGTGATGTCATATCACATCTTTGATTTCATGTCATATCGTGTTAGACCGCTTCTTGCCACATCAAATCAAACCAAATCAACTCGCATCACATGGCCTCATGTGTGCAATGTCATGTCAAATCTTTTCATCTTCTCGTCATATCCTCCACATCATGTCCTATGGTACACGTCATACAAAACTGTACTATATCATATCACATCCGACCACATCGTTTCACATCGCGTCACATCACAACCACGTACCTGCCTACCAACACGGCGGCCCCCTGAGGTGAAAATGGACAGCCCCCTGTGGTGTCCAGATCAATTTTCGCAGCAGCCGTTGCTTGTGCGAAACAAGGAACAACAACCGCGCCTCACCCCTCTTCTCTACTTTCCTCTTGCTTTTGCCGAAATCCCACAAGTGTATACATATGTACACATGTGCCGGCGTGCAAACTTCTAGTGTATATGGTATGTGCCTTTCTCTGTAGGTTTACACACTTCCGCTATTTCAGGGAGATTTCATTTTGAGCTTTCTGAGGGACAGATACAACATCCCGATCACCAGGTTCAAGACCACCCCCGGTCAGGCGTCATGATCAGGCGTGGCAGTTGCGCTTCAGTGATTTTGGAGTTGCAGCTCCCGGCAAACAGAGCTTCAACATGCACATTCTGACCGGCCCTTTGCCCCATGCTGAACACAATACTGTTTTGATGGGCATTACTTGCAGCGACAGGCAATGTTCGCGGCCATCTTGAAGGACTTCCGCTTGAACTTCAACCGTGTGCTCGGAGCAAAAAGTGCTGTTGCAGTTTGGCAAAGATGCTTGTGCGGAAGGAGTAATCTGATAGTGGGTACCACTTCGCATGAGATAAGCAAGCATCGCTGTCCTCTTCGCGTTGCGCCCTCGCACTCTCACCTTGTGGCCGAGTGAGACAAAGAGGCTGCTTTGATGAGCTTCCATGTGTTGATCTGACGGAGAAATTGCACTTAGTTGCCATGTTTTCGAAGCATGGATCCAATCTTCAAGCAAGTGCTGCTCGCGTGCTTGATGGGTTCTTCATGTCTCAAAGCAGCAAGCTCAACCGTGCACCTCCTCTTCCCTCACAGGGAGAAACAACTAGAGTCCCACTGCTCCACGAACCAGGTATCCATCTAGCCCGTGCTTGGGGTTCGTAGTCCCATGCCCTCAGTCTACGGCCGCAGACTTTTGTGCCAGATTATCCCGCCTCATGTTCGCGAGATTGGAAGACGTCACAAGTGTGCAAATACTCATGACACCTGTCTATGGTGTTGTGGTAACTCGTAGCACTAGAAGACACGACAACGAACGGTTCGCGATGTGGGCCCGGCCCCCCGAATCCCCGTCAATCCAGCAGCAGAGCACCGCTTTTCGCAGAATGTCCTGAGTAGTTTGCCTGCGAAGATGACGGCAGAGGAAGAGGCTCTGCCCGGCTCTGCAAGGGGATCCTCGAAGTTCTCGCTCCAGGCATGTTCATGTGAGGCCAACGATGGTCTCGAGCCTGCGGTGTCCAGCAACCCCATGGGCCTTCCACTGAAGGAGCTCCGAAGATTGAAGGACCTGCGTAGAGTCCCTAAGCCTGAAGGGTTTGAGTTGGTGCCCTTTGATGTGACAGGACCAGTTTCAGGATGAGGAAGGTCAGCCCGTCAAGCTAGACGAAGAGTCTGCGCCCGAGTCCATGTGGTGCCTGGCCACTGCTGATTTGCAAAGCCTCGGTGTAGTGTTTTCTCTTTGCAATATTTGAGGCAGTTTGTTGATGCACTGCTCTCCCGGCTGACGGGCTCCATGTCAACATCACAAGCCGAGTCGCTGCCTCGTTGGCTTCTGGCAGCCTCCGCGTGATAGTCGATCTGGCTCAATGAGAGGCGGCGGCGGTGGGAGGGAGAGCTCCGGACCTTGTTCAAGAAGATCGACGCCAGCTGCTCCGAAAGCGTAACGTGGGAGGCCTCCGGCTCGTGGCTTCGGCTTACGGCTCTTGTGCAGACTCGGAGCTAGCGGCTAGCGCAAACAAACGAGTAATCTTGACTCGTGTAAAGGCCGATGCAAAGTGATGTTTGCCACAAAGATGCTGATCTGCAGAGCCACCCCACAGGAGTTCACGAACTACATGCTCTTCCATGCTCCGGGCTTCAACTCTTCAGATGGCGCTTGCGAGCCATTGCCCGAGGACAAGTTTTGGAAGAGCCTAATGCTCCCTACATGCATGATGTTGGCCCTGTTCCGTGAATGGCATGCAGCAGGGAGCCTGCAAAGAGTCCGAGAGCGAGTGAGGCCGACCCACAACGCTGCAGCCGAAGCGTTGGCGGGCGCCTGGCAGTGTGGCCACATGGACCGCTAAATTCATGTTACCCTGCATGCATCAATATATTCTCGTGGAACAGATGCAGGACATGATCAACAACATCGCGGTCGTCTCTGATTTCGCCAACAAGCAGGATAATGGCAACGTGCAAGCCTCAGCTTCCCTGGACCAGCTCCAGCCCTGAGCCCTCAGCAACCCGTGAGGCGACGAGCAGCGCTCCGGCTGGCCACGCCCGGAGGCGAGCTGGATGGAAGTAGCGCAGCGGTAGGAGCCAGAGCAGGAGTGGGAGTAGGAGGGGCAGTCGTCATCGTCGAAGTTGTGGTGCTGATACTAGGGGTCGGAGGAGTAGCAGCATCGTCGTGGTGCCGGTGGTGCTGCGGGTGGTGGCGGTAGTGCTGCATAGCAGTGGAGATAGTGTCAGTGTAGCAACAGCAATTCGGTCGCATCCGTCATAAGAACACTAGTGGTGCTAGCTTTCGGGACATGCAAGGCTTGCCGTCGCATAAGCTCTAGCAGCACTGCAGGGGAGCTATCACTCTGCAGGTTCCGATCCTTGTCTGTACCAGGTACATCACTGCTGGACGGGACGGATTTGTGAAGGTGCCCCGCCAGCTCGACAGTTTCAACCCATTGGACTCGTTTGGACCAAGCAAGGGCTTGCACTCGCGGTTCACCGCTTGATGCACTCACATTGCTTGTATAGACTGGCTGCAGTGGCTCATGTCACAATCTTCCTTTTTGAACAAAGAGAGGTTTGGCATCCCAACCTGACGCTGCACAAGGAGATTGATGTCAGCTGCTCAGCTTCATGTCCGGGCGCATGTTGATTCGTTGTTGCCTCCCATGACATCGGAATGCCGGAGGTAGGACAGACAAGCAGCTGGCTGTCGGCATGTTGCTGGATGCAGAAGCAGGAGCCCTACTTGCCAGTCGTTACATGCGTGTATTTGCACATGTGCACACTTGTTCACGGGAACTTCTGTACAGGTGTATTTGTACATGCATAATATGACTGCTGCATGTTTGCTGCTTCTTAACACTGATGCAGTATGTGTGCCCATATTGGTAATGCGCTGGACATACAATGGTGCTTGTATGTCCATCAAGAGCCATGTTTCAGAGGCCAAAATGATCCGGGCAGCTTCCAAGCTTCAAGGCGACCGAGGTACCTCTCGGTCTTTCAACAGTGCTCGCCCGATCTGCGGCTGCGTTCGATACAGCCCTGTCCCTCCCGCTTCTCGTCTCGTCATGTCTCTCCCGATGCGATGCCGACGGACTACAAGGATGCTTCCGCCCGGCTGGTCCAGATGCTGCATCCTGGGGTTGGTGGCACCACCTGTAAGGTCTGAGTACTCTGAGGCCTTCCAAGCCCATTCAAACATGAAATCCCGTTCAAGCCCACCCTTCAGCGTCGTGTCGTCCCAAGTACTGCGGGCTTCGGCGATCATCACAAGAAGTTGTGCTCCAGTCTCCCGTTGTGTTGCAGAAAGTTAACAAAAAGATTCGGATTCGCAGAAGGTGGGCAGGAACCATGGGTGTGGTGCTTGCAAGCAGCGGAATGACAGGGTTCCGGCACCACCTCTGGTTTCGTAGGGCTCCACCTTGAAGGAACGACTTAACTGCGTTCGTAGATCGGATGCTGCAACATGAAGAAATGCAGCTGGACTTCAGTTTCTAAGCGTGGTTGTTGATTTTAGCTAGATATTCCCTTCCTCCATCCACGGTGTGACTGGAGTTGTGAAGGTTTCGCTTGGGGATCCGCCTCTCATGCTGAGCGGTAGCAGCGTGGCGCGTCCAAGATGAGTTGGTCCCTTCTTGCAGTGTCACAATGTGGTGCGCTGTGAACTGATGCTTGCTTTGTGGCCTAATCATCGATCTTGCATTGCTGTATTTCGATTTCCGGATCGCTGCAAGCATGCCTTTGAGCCGGGATTGATTGAGAAGGAGCCTTGCCGGTTCTGTGTCCGGCACCAAGGTCCAGGAAGCTGGCCGTCGCTTCGTCCAGCCGTCTGCCAAGTTCTCTTCGTTGCGCATTGAAAGTCGTAGTTTCGTGTGGGAGTCGTGTCATGTATGATCGCAGCAGTTGAGGCTTCCGTATCTTCTTCTACGACAGCGCCCTCAGCACGGGCTCTCAAGCACGGCTTCTCGAGCACGGCTTCCCGAGCTGTAGTGTTCCAAGGCCCGGTCAGCCACATCGACCACAAGGACGGAACGCATGCCCCCCAGGGATCTCCGCTTTCACGCTTCTGTAGTGCAGGGTCCTCCCTCCTCCCACCCCATGCTATTCCCCTGGGCCCCAACTATGGCGTGGTGCCTGTGGTCTTAATTTGGTTCTTGTTTTTCGGTGTCTTTTGTTTGTAGTAGGTGGGGGTTATATTTGGTCCAGAATGCCGCCGAGCAGAAGCGCTTGTCGTGGCTGTCTCGTCGCACGCTGTGCTGCAATTACATTCGGTTTCCCACCATAAGCCTTGGAAGAGCGGGCAGTGTGTTCCACAGGGGCATGGTTGCAGCTCATGCCAGCTACTGTTGCCATGTTTGAGATGCAAATTTGCCCTGGGCCGGGGGGGATGCCACCGATCATCTTGACATCTTTCCGCAAATCGTCCACAACTTGCCGTGCTTTTTGTTAAGCAAAAGCTGACATTGCTTTTGTAACACCCTGTTGGCCCAGATCTAGGGTAAATCCGTGGTCTCCGCGAGAGAGGATGCATTAGGCCTCAGCACCATCAGCAACAATATCACTTCTGGCAGCGTCGGCACTTTTCTTCCTCAAACGGTTGTCACAGCAGCCGCTGCCTTTTCGCGGGTGGGGCCGAGGCCCCTCTGCTTGGGATACACTGAGTGCGGCCCTCAGGCAAGTTAAGCTCGTTGACGTCGGAGGAGCTCTTAGTCTTAGCTCCTCTTCTGCACAAGACTGCCTACTCTTTCGACTCTCTGCGCTGTCTCAGCTTCCACGAAAACAAGAGCTCGGAGAAGGAGATCCTGATGGTCGGTAGGGGAGCCCGGTGCTACATTTGAGCTTTATGCCGGTCCCGCTGTGGGCCATCGAGGCGACGACAAAGGCTATGCCGGAAGCTCGGACATCACGTTGGGTCCTGGCATGACGCCATTTAAGCATCAGCTTTTGCTTGCAGTCAGTTCGAGGTCAGTGTCTACCCTTTGGATGCCAACTACTGGCTCGAACAAGAGCCCAAGTCAGAAGGGAAGCCTGACAGCGATGGCAAGAACAAAAGGCGAAGGCCGCTCACTTGAACTTGAGCGGCTGCTCGATGCCTTAAGACCTGACCTGTTTTCACCAGGTCCCGAACAAAGTACCATACGGACTGGGTCACAAAGGCCAGAAGTTTGGACGATTGAGATCTGGACTTTCTTCGGCGCATGTGGCGCAATGTCCGACGTCCCGGAAGGTTGGCTTTGTCTCGCAACTTCAAGCGATGGTTACCTGCAGCCTGGATGGTGAAATCAACATCTGCGATGTTCACACCAATCAGCGCCTTTGAGCCAAATCCAATCAGGTCTAGTGATTGGGACTTGCTGGCTTTGAGTTTTCTAATTGCCTGTAGACATACACATGAGACATGCTGTCATAGTATCCCAGAGCATTACATTTGGCTTCTGGTGCTCATGCTGTTTTGACATCGGTTGCTTTTGAACCTGAGGCGAAAAGAAGGGCGCGATGCAGTACGCCTTCACAAGAAAGGCGAGACTGCTGAACACTTGCTGCTTTTCCGTGATGGCATCAGAATGGGGCACCCCTAACGAGTTGTATAACGGGCACGCTGGAGCTGTACCTTTGAACTGGTTCTTGACCTTGCAACAGGGGTTTGCGTCAGGCCGGGGGGAGGTGTCGCTTTTGTTGCTCGCGCGTGCAAACATCATGGTTTCGGGAGAAAAGGATAGGGAACTCAGCAGGATGCGGGGCCCAAAACGGGAATTGCAAGCTGCGGAGGCTGTCTCACGTTGGGCAGACAGAATCTATGCCGCCCCCCATGGTAGAACATGTCGCAGCCAGAACCGATTGTTATTGATAGGAAGGCGAAACGACGTTCGACAACTGGGGAAGCAGTCCTCTGAAAGTCCGAAAATTATACGGTTCTCGAAGCAATTCACCAAGAGTCGCTTGACTTTCGCCTGGCGTCCAACGCCGTGTTACTGGGGTGCCTCTTTGGCGGCCTCGCCTGAGGCGTTCACTCCTGGTGTTGGTGCGCCAACTACAAGTTCTTTGCTTCGGGTGGCCGGGAGCCTACCTTGGAGCCTGGGATAGCGCGGGGCATCTGAGTAGACACCAAGGATCGGACCGTCAAATCATCATATGGAATCCCTACACGCAGAAGGCCATGAACTACCTGCAGGGGCCGGCGTCCCCAAGGGCACACGCACTTGATTCTTTAAGCCACTTGCAGAAGTCAGGGAGCCACACATACACACACACACACACACAATTTGTCGCAGAAGCGCTTGGCTGTCGATATATGTCTGGGTCAAGACTCTCAGCATGTTTCCTCTTTCCACAAGTCGGGATTCCAAGGCACAATGCCCCGGTGTTGGACGTTCTCGTCAACGAGAAGCAGTGCCCGGCCTGATTCTGTAGGCACTTGCAAGGCATGTCGCAGGAAGTGGCAAGATTTCGTCTCATCTCTCGAGTGACCATGCTGGATGACGCCTCAGGCACCAGATCATCTCGATGTCTGTTGACAAGGTTGTCAAGGCAGCATACTGGTTGGGCTCGTCCCATGCCCCATCCGACACTGCACCCTTCCGCTTTGCTGTGCCCCGCTTTCCTGCAGGTTTGGGACATTCTGAACTACCAGTGTATCCAGACCTTCACCGACAAAACCGAGTACAAGCCGGAGGCAGGTAATTGGAACTTCAACTTCTCAAGTCCAGAAATCATGAAGGCCTGTAGCGTGAAGACGCAGTCCTGTGAGGACAGGCTCACCTGCATGGCGTTCGATGAGGAAGGCACGAGAATCAGACCACCATGTGTGCATCAGGTGTTTTGCCTGCAGACTTCTTGACCACGTACATGGAAAGCTAGATGACACCTGGAGGTTCAACTATACGATGCGTGTTGCATCCAAATACATATTTCGACCATTTTTTTATGGTTGAACAGGGAGTAGCACAGTGTTCGAACAGGATCCCGAAGGGAGTCCCCATGTCCTGTTTGTCTGCCAGAAGTTGAAGGCAGCCTCGATCCCTGAAGCAAGAAAGCGCCACGAAGCCACCAAGAGACCCAGAAGAGTTCAGCATCCACGTAGGGGTAGCTCGATGGAGGACCTGCATTGGTGCTGTGCTCCAGCCTAATCAATGTGTTGCCGATCAGTGTCAAGGCGCGACCCAGCTCTGGGCTGGACGGCTTGACTTTCATGTTCGAGGGCTCAAGGGGTGTCAAGCACCTGAAGGCGGAGCTGTTTGCCCAAAGGCTTTGAACGCTTCAGAAGAAGGCCATTCCCACTTGGGTAAAGTCCCGGCAGACGATACCGTCGCACTCATACCTTGAAATGCCGGCCCAAGTTCTCATGTGCCCAGCAGCTCTCACGATGACAGCTTCGAATTCCATAGAACCATTGCGAGCAATTCAGGTGTCCCCTACAAAGTTGCAACTCGATGTTGGCTGCTACGACTTCTACTGCAATCCGTGATGCCTGCAGGTTCAAACCAGCCGCACTCATCTCGCACCCATAGTATGCTGGCTGCAGCTGTGCAGGAGCATTGTAGCATGTGTTCCAGGTGCAGTGCGGGACCACTCTTGCGCTGGATGTGTTCGTGTGGCCAGCAAGAGCTCGACGTGTGCTGCCCCATCGTGTGAAACGCCAAGGTTGGAGCTCTGTACAACGATGTTTTCCACCAGATCATCTCCGGCGACAACACGGGGACGGTGTCGGTGGATTCCTCGTTCGCCGGTTAGACAGTGAGGGATCCTGTTCCCACCTTCTTGTCTGCTCGAGGTGTGGGACATCAAGACAGGGAAGCTCGAATTTGAATTCCGTCGTGCTCACCAGGACTTGTTGCCAGTAGCATGCCGCCCCCATCTTGTGTATCATGGTGGTTGAACTGAAAGGATCACAAGATGACATGCATGGCTTTTGACGAATCGAAGCGATGCCTCTACACTGGTGGAGAGGCTGAGACATGGGCGCTTTAGGAGAGTGTCCCTCTCTCTCTTTGGCTTCTGCTGTCTCCGAGATCTCAGTATCCTTCCAGAATGGTCTTACTGAAACACAGGACTCCCCGACAAAAGATCTCAGCACTTGATGACAGCCGTGAGGGTTTCCATGCAATCGGCCTCTTCTAGTGCGCTCTGCAGTTGCACTTTCTCGGCGACACCTGTGTAAGAAGGCGATATTGCAAATGATGTCAGAAGGATCCGATGCCTGGTGGGAAAGGATGTGGATAGTTCTCGGCCCCTCTACAACCAGGATGGGTGCGTTAAGCTCTGGAACTTCTCCTCGGGCCAGCAGTGCTGCTCTTGGTATGCCTTTGCTTGCGCTAATCGAGACTGAAGCAAACCCACAGCTTGCACGGAGGGTTTGCTGGCAGGCATTAAAGTGGGCTTTGGAATCTGTTTGAACTGCTCGGTTGGCCTCTTTAGGTTGCGCAGCTTTACCATGCGGAAGCCGGCAGAGATTCGGAGCCAGGGCCTTGCCACAACCAGCACTCTTTGCAGAAAGTTTGCAGTTATTGCCCGGGCAAAGCCTTGTGACCGTGTCAGGCTGAGCAGAGAAATAGCAACGTCCTTCCAGAATGGACTCCCTATCATGTGCTGTCTAGTCTCCGTGTTTGGTCTCCTCGTCATGCATGCCCAGGTCTGTTGTGGGCTCAAGAGGGCCCCAACACGTTTGTCGTCGGATTGGCCTGGGACAGGCAGCCCACCCGAGTGTTGCAGGGACCCGCTAGTATATATGCTTCGATGCGATGCTGCCGCACGGGTTGATCCAGTTGTAGAACATGGTTGCTGGAGCACGTAGCTACCTCGCGGGTCACGGTGCAGGCCTGTCATCCTCCGAAGTAGTGCTGTAGCCTTGTCATGGGACTCAGGCGCATCTACATCTGGCCGGACAGCCACAAGCAGCAGGCCCGACTTCAGCAGGGCAGTGTTGCGATAATTCAGCTGGTGGCACATCGGCAGCGAGTCGTGTAGAGTGAGCTTGGTGCGGTGTTGGTTGACGTATGCGGTGTTGGTTGAATTAGGGTACACAAGCCTTCCCACATTCGCATTGGTCGGCCGACCTCCAATTGACTTCGGCTTCTGCCTTGTGCAGGTGGAACCGCAGTATGTGCTCGAAGACTTCACCGGTCACGGGCATACGGACCGACTCCGACAGATTGGAAGAATGTCAGTACAGCCTCGATTCTATAAAACTGTGATCCGCTCTACCTAGACTCTCACATGGTTCCGTGCTTCCCTGACTCAGTGTTGGTGGCTATCCAGGACGATGTTACTTGCCTCAGCAAGCTGTCGTCGGTCACAGGCCTCCTGGCAACTGGAGGCACAGTATCAGTGAGGAAGATCGAAACATCTGAACACTCAAAGGATCTAAGGCCAGATTCACCTTTGCAGCATCCATCCTTGTTGGGTCAGCGACCATGGATTTACACATTTACTTTCATTCACTCAACCAGTCGTTCATTCATTCATTATTCATTCATTCAGTCAGTCAGTCAGTCATTCAGGTATAGATAGATATAGGTATTGGTAAAGGTTTAGGAATAGTGATAAATACAGATATAGGTTATATAGGTGCATATTCACTATATATGTATATGTATATGTA